AAGAGGAAAAGGCTATTCATTGCTATTCTTGAACTCTCTTTTTTGTTGCATGTAAGGTGGATAACATGTTGTACTTCTTGATTTTTTTGGAAACAAAATTAGATATATACCATCTTATTTTGTTTAAATTTCAAACATTATAATAATTAAAAAAATCAAGGTTGAAGATTGTTTATTTAAAAAATTATTTTGACTCAAAATATCTAGGAATTGTAATGAACCTATTCATGGCTTAAAAAGTATAAAAACCTATTCCAAAACTTAAAATCAACCCTAAATAAAAAATCATCCTAGATTCATGTGTTTTTAGGCACTTTTAAAATTAAAAAAATAACCTAATATGAATTCATCTTATTAAATAGTTTCATTTTATATAAATATCGATCCGTTTTGGTTGTAAAATAAGTGTAAAAGAGATTTTTGTTTTATTATAGAAATTCAGTTGTTTTTTTATTTTAAAAAATAAATTATAAAATAATAAAAATAAATTTTTATATCAAAATTAAATTAAAAAATATCAAAATACTAAATATATATAATTTTTATAATATAAAAACTAAACTTAGTTTTTTACCTTTTAATTTTATTCTTATTTAACAAATTCGATTTAATTTCCCTCGAATAAGTCAAGAATCCACGAGTTTCACAAAAGTGTACGATCCCTCATCAATGTGCAGTTGAAAAACTACGACAGCTTGCTTTTATAAAAATGGATCATTGCTCCCCATGTGGGCTTTAAACATGCAGTTTTTGAAGAATAATATTTTCACATCTAAGAGAGCCATTACAATTACAAAGTGATCTATAGAAAAAATCATGAATTTATTAATAGATTATACTCCCATACTTCTCTTGTGCTTCCTTTTATTGCTGAATATATATAAAGCTGCAATCGCCATTGACATTATGAAAACAACTCAGTCCATCGGAAAGGGTGATGCCACAGATAATATAATAATAATAATAATAATCTAAAAATGTCCTAATCTCCCCCTTGAGGATGTGAGGAGAGAGAGGTTGCCTGAATAACATGTGAATGGAATCCTCTGTTCGTTAAGAATGAGAAAAATGGAGTCCTTGAAGATGACTGTTCACTCTTCCATGAAGAATATGAACATCGCTTTCGTGGTAAAGAAGTTGTGGCTATAAATATGAACATTTTCACATCTAAGCCATTCATAAACTGAGCTACAATGGGTTACATTCCCATACTTCTTTTTTGCTTCTTTCCATTGCTAAATAGAGCAACGGGCACAGACATCACTATAAGATTTTATAATTTTATTAACGAAATTATTCTAGCGATATATAATTTAGAGCTTATTGATAATAAAATTATTGACAGAAAATATTTGTTAATTTATCATTCTTTAATAATACTAGATCCCATCACAAAATTTATTGATAAAATAATTTTACAGACAAAAATTACATGTTGAAAAAAAATTCACTTAAAATATACCAAACGAAATGTATCACCTCCCTTTTACTCTATGTCACTGCTATAACTTTCATATTTATCTTCATTTTTCTATCATTAACTCGTTGTTATAATTAACACCTTGAAGTACTAATGTATTATATATATATACTAATGTATTTTTTATAATTTTAATTTATTAATATAACAAATATATATATATATATTCAAGTAAAAACTGACAACTATTCCTAAAAATTTTTAAAAAATAAACTATGTTATTCCTCAAATGTTTTTTAATTTACTTTTTTATAATGAATTACTTGTCAAGATTCTGGGTAGAAAGGCATAACCCTGCACATGAAATACCCTCTCAAAGCATTGAAATGACGAACACCATCTAAAACAAGTCAAATTATTAATATATTTTTGTCATTGTTTGCATTCAGAACCCTAGGCAGTCATTTGTCGTCATTCTAGTAAGCATTTAGCAGGGCTCGGATTAAACCATTTGCTTGTTAACTTGAACACGCGCACAAAATTAGAAGAATTCATGATGACATATCTGTGACGCATGCTGACCTAGATCAGTATATCATAGATAACATTTTTGTTCCTTGTCTTTTAGGGTGAGACAAATTTCTAATACAAATTTCAAATTTATCAACGTGTGGTTGGTGGAGCCTTGAGTGTTTGGTTTTTCAAAAAAAAAAAAAACTGAAAGAAGTTGAGATTTGTATAAGATATTGCCCGAGAAGTGGAAGAACTTGAATTTTGGTTTAATAAGAAGGAAACAAAAAAAGAAAAAGGGTTCCACTAGACTTATTGATGAAAGAGTTTTTCTATGTTTGTTAGATGTTGTGATATATAATATTTTAAAAACATATTTTTTATTTAAAAATATAATATTTTTTTTAATATTAGTATGTTAAATTCATTAAAAAAATACTAAAAAAGAAAATCAATTTTTTAATTTTTGAGTGAAACTCGTTTTATATATATATATATATATATATATATATATATATATATATATATATATATATATTAAACCTTGGTCTTCAATCAAATTATCTTTCAAGCTTTCAAGTCAAGTTACGTGTCCCATATATTTTTTTAAAATCTAAAAATATAATTTTTATATTAATTATATTTTAATTTTTAATTTCTAAAGTATATTTTAATAAAGTCATATTTAATTAAATTATCTCAATTTAATTTTTTACTAAATTTTTTTAATGTGTATGACTTATTAAGTTCTTAATATCTGAGCCTAAATATAAATTATAATCATAATTAAATAAATTAAAAATTTTAATTTATTATTAATTTAAAAATTAATTAATTTATATTTAAAGATTAGATGCATCATGTAACAATGTATCATGATCCCTAAATATTAAAAATATTATTAGTAATTTGATTTAACCTTTCAATAATTGTTTTATCAGTGTAATTAATATTATTTCATTAATAATATTCTGATTTAACATTAAAGGATGGAATATATTTGTCATGTTAAATTATATTTATTCACTATATAATAATTATTGATCGTCTGAATAAAATTTAAATTTTTTTTCAAATCTCATTTAATTTTATTCAAAGATTTCTTAGTCAATACTATTTAAGAACAAATAAAATATATTTTTTTAATTCACCTAAAGTGATAAATCATTTATTGATCACTTAAGTATTTTCATATAGTTCATGTTTATACTCAATGTCTGTCTTTTTGTTATGTCGATTAAGATAACATGTAACAGGATCAAAACATCATATTTTCTATATAAAATAATTTTATAATTTCAAGTTTAAGAATAATTTACACAACTATTACGTAAGTCTTTACATACACATGAATGATTTCTCCATATAAAATTCTCATATAGGTCAGTTCAATATACATGTCTTATAACATGCACTTATTTATTAATTCTAAGCATTTCTTATATCTTAACTTATAAGTACAATTACTTCTTTTCATAATGAAAAAAATATAATATATATTAGTCTTTACAGTTCTAATGAATATTTAATATTTAAAAGAATATCGACTAGTAACATTTTAGAAACAATACTTTGATGTAATAAATTTTTTATAATTATAATAATTTTATAATTTTTTTAATATATTTTTATCCCATAAACTTTATTTTAACTTTAGATTCATTAATCTAATATTATATAAATATTAAAAATAAATTAAGTTTTTATTAATTATAAATATTTATTTTTATAAATATAATAATATCAAATACAACGAACTAATTTGGTTACACAGCAGATTAAACTAGAATGGTTTTTCTTTTGCACAGTTATAGAGTTCATAATCCTCTACATCAAATCCAAAACTTGGACAAATGAAATTCTTATTGTTAAACACAAAACTTTTATATTGGCGAAAATATCAATAGGCATGCCCAGAATCTTCAACACTTAATTTGTTTGACTTGTTACCAGTTTATTTTTTTTAATGAAAACTAAAAAAAAATAAAAAACATATTCATAAAAACTTAAAAATAATTTAAACTAAGGGGAAAAAATGTGTTTTTAATCAAAATTTATTTTTCTTATTCATGTATTTTTTTTCATTAACAAGGTTTTTTATACTAGAAGCACTATTTTTTAAAAAATAAAAATATATAATGATTTGAAAAGAAAATTTCAATAAAAAAATCATGACTTAATAATTCTTAAACAACTATATGGAAAATAAAATTAATTAATTTGATAAAATCATATAAATAATTAACAATAATTTTTTTAAAATATTTTTTTTATTCTTGTTAAATATTCATGAACATTTTTTTTAAATCCATATATTAGATTCATATATAATATAATTATTCATAGAAATATTTTTTAAATATTTTTGAAATTGAAGTATAGCAACAATATGAAGACTTGAAAATAAGTCTGTGAGTTTTTAGGTTCTATAAACTTAATTTTTAATGAGTTTTTAGGTTCTATAAACTTAATTTTTAATAAGTTTTTAGTTAAAAACATTATAAAAACCTTAATAATTTTATTTTAAATTTAAAACGCCCTTGAATTAGCTTAAAAACTTAGAATCAAATCAAATAAAAAATATTTTTGAATCCTGATTTAATTTTTTTAACATGGTTAAAGAGTAAAACCATATCCATAGAACTCTCTTTTCGAGGATAAATTTATTATTGCTAACATCAATTTTCTGTGGTCAGAATAAAATATAGAAGCCCAATGCTTTCTCTCTCCTCCTTTTTTTTTGAGAACTTTTCTCACTCTTTTTTCCAACTCACAGGAACTCAAATATAATGAAAATAAAGTTTGGGATTGGAATGTAAATATTTAAAACTACAAGGAAAAAATATGAAAAACTCAAAAAATTAAGGGATCAAAAGGGTATTTTCCATATAAAAAAATTGCCTATTGTTAAATGAACAATGAGATTCATCACTGTTTAGTTTTAGTATAGTAAAATAGTAATAATAATCTAAAAATGTCTTGATCTCCCCCTTAAGAATGTGAGGAGAGAGAGGTTGCCTGAATAACATGTGAATGGAATCCTCTGTTAGTTAAGAATGAGAAAAATGGAGTCCTTGAAGATGATTGTTCACTCATTCATGAAGAATATGGCCTCACCGAAAATTATATAGCTTCCGCTTTTATGTCAAAAACGGAACATCGCTTTCGTGGTAAAGAAGTTGTGGCTATAAATATGAACATTTTCACATCTAAGCCATTCATAAACTGAGCTACAGAAAAAAAACCATGGAAGTTACAATGGTTTACATTCCCATACTTCTTTTTTGCTTCTTTTCATTGCTGAATAGACTAACGGCCACAGCCATTGACACCATAAACACAACTCAGTCCATCAGGGATGGCGATACCATAGTTTCAGCAGATGGAACCTATGAATTAGGATTTTTCAGCCCTGGAACGTCCAAAAACAGATACTTGGGCATATGGTATAGGAAAATACCAGTTCAAACTGTAGTTTGGGTTGCCAATAGAGAAACTCCCCTTAATGATTCGTTGGGGGTGTTAAAGTTCACAAACAAAGGAATTCTTATCCTTCTCGATCGCAGAGGGAGCGTGATTTGGTCTTCCAACACACCAAGACCTGCGAGGAATCCAACCGCTCAACTATTGGAGTCAGGAAACCTTGTTGTGAAAGAGGAGGGCGATAACAACCTGGAAAATTCCTTGTGGCAGAGTTTTGAACATCCGACTGATACGATATTGCCAGGCATGAAGCTAGGAAGGAGTAGAATAACGGGAATGGATTGGTCCATGACATCATGGAAATCAGAAGATGATCCTTCCAGAGGTAACATTACATGTAAACTTGCTCCTTATGGATATCCTGACATGGTTGTGATGGAAGGTTTGGAAGTGAAGTACCGATCTGGACTGTGGGATGGTCTGCGGTTTAGTGGCGTTCCTAGCACAAAACCAAATCCTATATACAAATATGAATTTGTTTTCAATGAGAAGGAGGTATTTTACAGAGAGACTCTTGTTGATAAGTCGATGCATTGGAGGCTTGTGACAAGAGAGAATGGTGACATCGCGAGCTTTACTTGGATTGAGAAAACACATAGTTGGTTGCTTTATGAAACAGCAAATACAGATAATTGTGATCGATATGCACTATGTGGTGCAAATGGTTTCTGTGATATTCAAAGCTCTCCAGTGTGTGATTGCTTGAATGGATTTGTACCAAAATCCCCAAGAGATTGGGACGTGACTGATTGGTCAAATGGTTGTGTTAGAAGGACTCCACTAAATTGTTCTGGAGATGGGTTCCGAAAGCTCGCTGGATTGAAGATGCCTGAGACAAAATCATCGTGGTTTAGCAAGACGATGAATCTTGAGGAGTGCAGGAACACGTGCTTGGAGAAATGCAACTGTACAGCATATTCAAATCTGGACATCAGGAATGGAGGAAGTGGGTGCTTGCTCTGGTTCGGCGACCTGGTTGACATTAGAGTTTTTGCTGAAAATGAGCAAGAGATTTATATACGAATGGCCGAATCAGAACTAGGTATGAATTTATCTTCAGACAAGAAAACTCACTATCTACAAATCACTTTCTAGCAACTTGTGGCTGAGTCATTCTTTAAATAGTAACTGCCTATTTAAAGCTAAATTAGGAAATCAAACATGTTAGATATGGAAGAAGATTTTCCTTCGCTTTATTTTTCCTGCGCTTCTGCTGCTATCTTTTCCATTATAGTACATTCTCAAAAATCTTCATTTTCAATCTCGTTGCAAACCGTGTTTCCTTGTAACTATATTACACAGGATACAGAGACTTTACTAAGAATGAATTTGGAAATGAATCAAAATAGGCACCATCCACAGGGCAGACTGAATGGAAGTCATTGCCAACATGGACAAATCGTAGCTAATAGATAACCATGAGAAACGGTGCTGTAGCCAATAAAAATTTCTAGCCATACTAAATTCTATACCTCTAGACTTTCCTATTGTTGTCCTTTAACTCCAGTTTTTCTCTTCCAAGCTGTAGATATTGGAGATGGTGCAATGATAAAAAAAAAATCCGAAGCCAAGAAAAGGATCATAATGAGCACTGTGTTATCTACTGGGATTCTGTTCCTTGGCCTAGCCTTGGTCTTGTTTGCTTGGATGAAGAAGCATCAGAAAAACAGTACGTAATTCACACCATGAACATTTAACAAGTACTCCATCTCTCAATTTTCAGATAAGATGTTTTGTTTCTTTTGAATTTTGATTTTTAAAAATGGAAGGCATCGTCAAAATGTTAAAAGAGTATTTATTTGGTGGCTTTCTGTAACCAAAAATATTGTTCCCATGCTTCCTTCTTATTCATGCTAGTTCTGCCTGCAGGACAAATGACAGAAGCTCTGGAAAGAAGTTCAAATAACATGCAGAGGAAGGAAGATCTGAAACTTCCATTTTTTGATTTCAGTACCTTGGCTTGTGCAACAAATAATTTCTCTACCGACAATAAACTTGGAGAAGGGGGTTTCGGGACAGTTTATAAGGTACTTATCTAACAACAATCAGGCAACTAGATTGCTTTAATTTTTCATGGCACAAACTGATGGCAGCACTGATTTTTATAATTTGTTGGTATTAGTTTGCTTGGAACTTCTACCACAGACAGCCTTTAAACACAAAACAATGTCTGCTCGGAAAGTGTTCAAACTTTATGGTCACAACAGATGCAAGTAGTGGGAACATCACACTGTGATTCCCGACTTTCACAAGACAAATGATTGCTTATGATACTGAGTGATCGTTTGCAGGGAACATTAGCAGATGGACGAGAAATAGCAGTGAAGAGGCTCTCTAAGATTTCGAGACAAGGTCTTGATGAGTTAAAAAATGAAGCCAATTATATTATGAAACTTCAGCACCGGAATCTAGTGAAGCTTCTAGGATGCTGCACCGAAAGAGATGAAAAGATGTTGATCTATGAATTCTTGCCTAACAAAAGCTTGGACTTTTTTATTTTCGGTATGAATCTCTCAAAACCGCTAAAAATTCTTTCCAATTATATTGGCAATATAGGGCAGTCTTCGCACCGTAACCAAATCTAAGTGAACAAGGCCATGAGCTGTGGCTTAAGGGGAAAAAAAAGTACACTAGATGAGTCGGGGATACAAATTACTGGGACAAATGGGGAGCCATAAGCACCAAAACAATCATCTGTTGTGTTTCCTTCGAAACTCTTGGGAAAATGGCAAACCAATTTGTGATTTTATATAAAAATTCTTTGATTTTTAAGTACGCATTACCTTTCTTTCGTACCTTCTCATATCCATTTAGGAATCTAATGCTGTAATGACTTGACTTGGGCAAATAATTGACAGAAAAAACACACAGCTCTCTACTTAATTGGCCTAAGCGCTACAACATTATCAATGGTATTGCTCGTGGACTCCTTTATCTTCACCAGGATTCAAGATTAAGAGTAATTCATAGAGACCTGAAAGCCAGCAATATTTTATTGGATTATGAGCTGAACCCGAAAATTTCAGACTTCGGCCTGGCTAGAAGTTTTGGAGGAAATGAAATTGAAGCCAATACTAATAAAGTGGTTGGTACATAGTAAGTGTCTCCTCCGACATATGATTTTTATCTTCGTTTTTTCACACACACCACTTAACATTCCATGAATGAGTGCAGCGGCTACATATCCCCTGAGTGTGCAAATTATGGACTCTACTCGGTAAAATCAGACATTTTCAGCTTCGGTGTATTGGTGCTAGAGATAGTGAGTGGGAACAAGAACAGGGGATTCAGTCATCCAGACCACCATCTCAACCTTCTTGGGCATGTAAGTTTCATAACTATTTTATTTACTCTTCTTTTCATTTTACTCTTGGGCACCTATGTTAGGTTGCAGGTGCTTGGCATGTTTTTGACACTTGGACACTTCAAATGCTTCAAATATTTGTAAGAGTCTGTAAACTAATCCAGTCTGAAAATGATATGCATGTTGTTTTTGGATCAAAGAGTCATGGGGAGATGGAGTCAGTGCAAATATTTTCTTATTTCTGGATATCAAATCTGTTATAATAACATGGTTTTGTTTGTTAGGCTTGGATACTGTTCAAAGAAAACAGGTCCTTGGAACTGGCTGCAGATTCAATAGCTATAACATGCAATTTATCAGAAGTGCTACGATCAATCCACGTGGGTTTATTGTGCGTGCAAGAAAATCCAGAAATGAGGCCAACCATGTCAAATGTAGTTTTGATGTTAGGTAATGATGATGTACTGCCTCAGCCTGAGCAACCTGGTTTCTTCACTGAAAGGGAAGTGATTGGAGCAAGCTGTCCATCCAGCCTCGGCAAACCATGTTCAGTTAACGAATGCTCGGTTTCAGAGTTAGAACCAAGATAGATTGCTTTTAATGTTGTTGGTGTTGATATTTTGTTTCTTTATTGTTATGCCGTGTACTCTAATTATAATGTACCGTTGTTGTTTCCCAGTCCTTTTGTGCTTAGGGTTTTGTGAGTTTTCTCTGAAGAAATGACTGGTCTCCGTGAGTGCATCCCATATTCCCTTTGACAACAAATCACGAAAAGCTAATGGGATGAGTGTTTGCATAAACACGTGACAGTCATGACTCTTCATTCCATACAATCTGCAGTTCTCTACATTAACTAGTCGTGATATGTTCGATGCATGTCCATCCGGAAAACGCAGACTCTTAAGCCATTTGTAGACTAGCAGTTGTGCGTTTTTCTCTAACACGAAGCTTGCTCTTGGTTTTGCGACCCGTGACTTATCATAAACCAACTCCATATTTTTACGATTACAGTATAAAGCTATATCCAATCTAGCCTTGATGTTGTCCTTTGTCTTCCCCTTCACATCTATGACAATGTTGAAAATGTTCTCAAACATGTTCTTTTTGATGTGCATGACGTCAAGGTTATGGCGGAGCAGATTGGTCTTCCAATAAGAAAGCTTCCAAAATATACTTCGCTTTACCCAATTATGAGTCAAACCAAAACCAGAAAACTTTTGCTTACCTGATTGAAGGCCAAACACAATGTCACCGTATTCTGAGACAACATCATGCAATTCTTCACTAGAAAGACGCGGGGATGCAACATCTTTTTTAACTCTGCTTCTGTAGGACCACAACTGCCCCAACTCATCAATCAACAGTCAAAGACAAACATCTATATTCCGTCCCGGGCTGTTTGGACCGAGTATGACAGTAGATAAAAACATGAACTCCGGCCTCATACACATTCTCGGTGGCAAGTTATTAACTGTGAGTATGACCGGTCAACAAGAATAAGGAGCAGCAAATGACCCAAATGGGTTGAATCCGTCTATACACAACCCAAGATGCACATTCCTTGATTCAATTGAAAAGTGAGGATGAACACTATTAAAGCATTTCCAAGCTTCGTCGTTAGAAGGATGAACCATCACTCCATCAATTGCATGGTGTGCTTGGTGCCATGTCATGTGCTCAGCAGTCCTTGGTGACATGAATAACCTC